CCTTAAAAATATGCCTCCCTAGTTTTGAACTCGCCCACCCTAGGGAAAAAACCCTTACTATTCACCTTATCATGATTTTGCAAACCTTTTATAAGGTCACCCCTTAAACTCCTGGTTTGTCTTGTTGAACAATGTATTGTAACGATACAATGGCTATGAGAGGTGTATTTTGTCCTGGTTCTTTTTTATGAAGAAAGGTTGAGACAGAGGTACAGAGCAGTGTGCTCAAAGCCAATGAAGTAAACAGCTTGTGAAGCCTTGTTTTTTTTTTAAAGTTGGAACAATAGAAGCAGCCTTACTGGCTGTGGTCAAGCTCCCACAGAACCAGGACTTTTAGTTTTAGCTTTCTGTAGTTGCTGGGATGTTGAAGCCGGACGTGGAAGCTCTTAATCCTCTCTCTGTTGCAGCTAAAGGCTGGGATTCTCTTCCTGCTGCTAGAATTGCATGTGAGACAATCTCTATTTTACCGAGAGATAGTACACCTTGTTATCTCTATTTTACTGAATTTGCTTTTGCCAAGGGTGTGTGTATAGGGATGTTAATGTATTGGAACAATGCAGTTAATGTGTGCTTATATACTATATATATTATTTTGGTAAGCATTTCAATAGAATTACAGTTAAGCCAATTCTTTTCATTTTTATTTTGTCTTCATTTTAACTGTAGTGTAAAAAAGTATGTATTGCTTAAAAGCAAGTAGCTTGACCAATCAAATTACATCTGGAACACAATGCCTTACAAAATAAGGAAAAGTTAGGGTCTAGGCTATGTTCTTAATATATTTTGAGGGGGTTTGGTCTGGTCCATAACAGTATCCATTTCAAATGCCTGCACTATTTTATATATATTCAAAAAGAATGGTCAAACATTGTACCTTGTGCTCACTTCCCAGTTATTTACTGAAGGCCAATGAAGATTGATTTATGTGTTGTGCAATGATTTTCTTACAATTAAACCATTTTAACACCTTCAATTCTATGGCCACCTGTATATTGATATGTACGTTGATACATGTTACTTTCACAGAATTATGATCATCGTGATTTGATGTTAATTGTTTCTTCCCACAATTATTCAAACGAAAGTAGTTTGTGGACTTCTTTTGTCCAGATCTGCATACTAACCTACATTCAAAGGCCCTCCAGTGGAACTTTGGCAGCTTTTGTTCATTTAAATATTTTGTTCATTTAAATATTTTGTTCATTTAAAAATTTTGTTCATTAAGTGTTCCACACTTAATGCTATTTAATGTCAGTTTGTAATGCTGAATCACGGGAACATCTGATGGTGATTATCTCAAGTCTAAATTGATCCCCATGCTTTTGTGATGTCAACAACAACTGTATACTTGCATATCACATTTTAAGATAATAAACTCAGCCAAGATGCATTATTGATACGTTATAAAGCAAAATATGACACCAAACTACTTGAATAGATATTAGGGCAGATAACCAAAAAGCTTGGTCAACGAGATAGTAGGAACTGCCGATGCTGGAGAATCTGAGATAACAAGATGTACAGCTGGATGAACACAGCAGGCCAAGCAGCATCAGAGGAGCAGGAAAGCTGACGTTTCGGGCCTGGAGCCTTCTTCAGAAATGGGAGAGGTGAAGGGGATTTTGAAATAAATAGAGAGAGGAAGGCTGATGGAAGGTGGATAAAGGAGCAGATAGGTGGAGAGGAGACGGACAGGTCAAGGAGGCGGGGATGGAGCCAGTAAAGAGGTTGCTTTTAAGAAAAGTCTAGAAGGTGGAAAGACAGGAGGGAGTAAAAGAGCTTAGCGCCTCGGTAAATGTCACCAGTGGTGGTGCAATTAAAATTGGTGTTCTCAATAAGTCAGAATTAAAGGAGCACAGATATATCAAGATGACAAAGCTGGAGGATATAAACTGGAGACAAGGAAGGCGAAGGCAAGATTGACATTTTAAAACAAGGTGTTGCATTCAGAAGAAAGTTTAGGCTAGGGACCACCAGAAAGCTGGATAAATGCGACTTGGCACAAGTAAGAACATGAGCAGCAGAATTTTGGACAACCTCAAGTTTAAGAAGGATATTGCAGGAAGCCAGTGAGCTGAGCATTATGGTCGACTGTAGAGATACCAAAGGCATGAGTCCCTTGCGGGGTGAGATCAAGCACGTGGAAGAAAGCTTAATGTTTCAGCCTCATTAACTTGCAAAACTAAACTGCTCTAACTATCCATGCTTTTATTATTTACAAAGTGGGTCATGGAAACTCCTTTTTTTAAGAACTATTTCTAAAGTAAAATTTAACAATGTTTCAACAGCTGGTGTTTTCCTATCATTTAGAGTCACAGAGTCATACAGCACGGAAACAAACCCTTCAGTCCAACTCATCCGTGCTGACCAAAATCCCAAACTGAACTAGTCCCATTTGCCTGCAATTGGCCCATATCCTTCGAAACTTTTCCTATTCATGTACCTATCCAAATGTCTTAAATGTTGTAACTGTTCCTGCATCTACCTTTGGCAGTTCATTCCATATACGAACCACCCTCTGTGTGAAAAAATTGTCCCTCAGATCCCTTTTAAATCTTTCTCCTTTCACCTTAAAATTAAGCCCTCTCGTTTTGAACTCCCCAACCCAAGGGAAAAGACCTTTGCTGTTCACTTTATCTATGTCCCTCATGATTTTATAAACCTCTCTAAGGTCACCCCTCAACCTTCTACGCTCTAGTGAAAAAAGCCACAGCTTTATCCAGCTTCTCTTTATAACTCAAACGCTCCATTTGGCTTTTTACTGTAAATTTTCAATGTCTTTAACAGTTCGGAGTGTTGAGTGTTCATCAAACATGCCAGTTTCACCAGAGTTGAAGTTAAGAGTCAACCACATTGTTGTGAGTCTGGAGTCACATGTAGGCCAGACCAGGTAAAGATGGCAATTTCCTTCCCTAAAGAATATTAGCGATTGGGCTTTTTTTCCTGACAACCAACAACAGATCATGGTCATCATTAGATTCTTAATTCCAGATTTTTATTAAATTTAAGTTCCACCATCTACCATGGTGGGATGCAAAGCCAGGACATTACCTGTATCTCAGGAATAATATTACAGCGATAGTGCCACTAGGCCATCACCTCCAGTAAATCACTGAATGTCAATTGCAATTCCTCCTTCAGATCACTAGGGGCCACCTTTTTCTTATGAAACTGTTCTGGCATTATTGCCACTCACAAAGAGAAACAGTCTTTTATAAATAGAAGCCCGCCCAGGCATTAAAATGTTTGCCTTTGATGTTTTGTACCCACTGAAGAAATATAAGGCCTTTTCTGACTACCGTGGTTTTTGTTCTGAGCAAGGAAGCATTGTCACACTGATTCATTAAATTCCTTGCCTACATTTATAATTATTTGCTCAGATTTCTTCCAGTGCTGGATGTATATGATCTTTGTTCAGAGTTGTTGTTTTGATTTGTATTAGCCCAAATTTGAGAGGTTCACCTAGTCTGCAGTTGCAGATTCCTCCAACCACAATCTTATTAATGCTAATTATTTGGCTGATATACTGAACCAGATAAAATATATTGAAAAATACCGAAAGAACTGCAGATGCTGTAATTCAGGATCAAAAACAAAGTTGCTGGAAAAGCTCAGCAGGTCTGGCAGCATCTGTGAAGGGAAAAACAGAGTTAATGTTTCGGGTTTGGTGGCTTCTGAGGAAGGGTCACTGGACCCAAAACGTGAACTCTGTTTTTTCCTTCACAGATGCTGCCATACCTGCTGAGCTTTTCCAGCATAACACGGTGTAGAGCTGGATGAACACAGCAGGCCAAGCAGCATCAGAGGAGCAGGAAAGCTGACGTTTCGGGCCTAGACCCTTCTTCAGAAAAGCTTTTCCAGCAATTTTGTTTTTGAAACTATATTGAAAGTTGGGTGAGTTTTCTTAGGCACATAGATTCTTCATACTCACCAGCAGTGCATAGTGATTCCAGAACAGAAGAAACATTAAAGGGAAATAAATACAGCTTACAACATCAACAACAAAATCCGCATGACACAATTTATCCATGTGCTCTCCAAAGCTGTCCTCCTTGCTTTTCTAAGCAAGGACAGTTGGTACTGTTTGCATTTCTTACCCGGGGAAAGATCCAAGCCTTTCTTGCTCAAAAAGGATGCTCACTTCTGAAGAGCTGCTCAAACCTGGCAAAACATGTCAGTTGAACACATATTGCACCTTCCTACAGAACAAGTTGGCCCATTCAGGAGAAATCACACCAGCCTTGGGCAAGCAGAAGAAAGGTGTGGCATTAGCCCAAGTGTCCCTGGACAGATCACTGAGAAGAAGAGGCAAAGGTACCACCGCCTTATATAATTCTTGCTGTTCTAGGAAAAAGAACCATTTTTGAACTGCTGTTCAGATGGGAAAAAACTTTACAAGTTGCTATTGGACTGTCCATCTGGTTTATTAATATTAGACATTAAAGTGTGTATAAGTATATAAAAGTAGCTGTGAAAGGTGTGCATCTGTGAACATCTCCATGGCTTCGGGTGAAATAAACACAGTGGGAGGTGAAGACTGAAGTCTCACACCTCACTGCTTAACATCGGAAGATGGTGCAAAATCTCCAGCTGCAATCAGGAAGCCAATTGTGACAAGGTAAACATTTAAACATGGTTTAAAGTTCTAAATAAATTGGAAAAAAAATAAACACCTGCATGTATGTTTGCTCTAGGAGCCTGATACTTCAATTTTTCCTTTAATTCACGCACTGCCAAAGGTGCCATTTAGCACGCCTCTCAGTAAAGTTCAGTAGCTCAGAGAGGATGCCAGAGGGTGCTGTCTTTGTAGCAACACAGAGCGAATGCCAGCTGTAGTAAATGATCTCAGACTGTCAGGGTATCATGCGTGAGTTAATTTATTTCATACCTGGTAACACTAATGGACTTTTTGGAAATTTTTGTGAATTCTGGGGCAAAATCTATGAAACCAGTTACACGAGTTTTAATTGATTTCTGTGTTTTTAATGTTATTTTTCTAGTTGCTTGATATCCCAGAAGAGCTAATGGACAACCATGATCTAACTGTAGACTACATCCTTACACCTACTCGAGTGATAAAAACAAACTGCAGCTGTTCCAAGCCTCAAGGAATTATATGGTCGAAGGTTTACAATCCTTTTTATTCTTTGAGTTCCTGAAAAGAAATATTCTTTACGTTTGTCAAAGTACTTCTCTCATTGTATTGCAGGTTGTCCTGAAAAAAGAACAATCAGCACAGAAATAGGCCATTCAGCCCATCATTTCTGCAGTGGCTCTCCAAATGAGCTTCACAGCCTGGTGCCAAACTGCGTTTTTCCCATACCCTTGCATGTTATTTTTATCTAAATAATCATCCAATGCCCTGTTGGATGCTTCAGTTAAACCTGTCTCCACCACACTTCCATGCAGTGCATTCCATACCCAAACTACTCACTTCACCCTTGCTTCTTTTAAAGATCGTTTTAAATCTATGGCCCTCTTCTTCTTGTACATTAGGAACAATTTCTCTGTATCTCCTGTACCCAGCCTGCTCTTGATTTTGAAAATCTCTGTCAGATCTCCTGTTAGCCACCTCCTCTCCAAGGAATACATTTTTCTCAATCATACTTTCATAAATGAAATTCCTCATCCCTTGAATCATTCTTGTAAAACACTTCAGCACTCTCTCCAATGCATTCACATCCTCCCTATAATGTGCCACCCAGAATTGTATGCAGTATTCCAGCTGAGTTTAGCAAGTGTCTTACACCAAGACCCTTATATTTGATTTCCATCTTACCATCCATGTTTTTCAGTCTCTATCTAGTGGGAAAGTGCCTGCCTCCCGCTTTGCATCCTATGAACGTGCAGCTGTAATTGCGAATCAAAGGGCAAACATTGCACATACGTCAGTGAATCACACTATTGCAACATAATTACAAATACAACCTTTTAAAAATCATATTTTTCATTGTGTGTTGTGCACTAAGAGCCTCCTTTACGATGTCTGTGAGAAATGTAGTTGCTGGCAGGATTTAGGTTTTGATTTGGGGTCTTGACGTTTGGATTAAAAGACTCTACAGTATGTGGGAAACAGTCACCTGGCAGTTTTATTCCTGAATTGGCTGATTAGCTGCCTTCCGTTGTGTTTCTTGTCCAGTTAAGGATAGTGGGTGAGCTTGTCAAGTCCCAAAGCCAATGAGGGTCCTCCAGTATGGAAGGAGCTACATCTGGAGGTGCCCTCTCAGAAATGTTTCAACTCAAAAATGGTGATAGCTGCATCATTGTGGAGGGATTCTCCTGCATTGGACGACTTGAAACTGTAGCTAGGTCAGTAAGGCTAGACAGACCTCAAAGCTTACATTGGCTCCCTATTCTGTTATTGGGATATTGCCTTGAGGCAATTGCCTGTTCCCCATTCTACAGGAGGCCCACAGGCTACCTTGAAGTGACCCTTAGAGTCATAGAATCCAACTCTCTTTCCTATAGCAGGGCGACCACAACTGTACACAGCACTCCAAAAGTGACCTCACCAACATCCTGTAGAACTGCAACATGATGTCCCAATTCCTATGCTCAGTAGTCTGAGCAAATGAAGGCCAGCATGCTAACACCTTCTTTACCACCCTGTCTAACTGTGGTGTAGCTTTGAAAGAACTATGTACCTTTAATAGACATGAACTCACCTTAATTCGTTCCTTCTTACATTTGGATAGTCCTTCTGACCTTGATGTTTGTGTTTTACCATTTTTGTTATTCAGGTGGATTCGGAGATGATGGAAAAAATTCCAATCCTTAAAAGCCTTCAATTCAGGGAACGAAAAGCAGGAAAGGATGTTGCTCTGAAGGATGAAATGCACACAGAGAAGAAAGAACTCCACAGTCTGTTAGATCAAAGAATGTCGTCAGGGAAAGGGGGAAGTGCAATCAAGGTTAAAACTAACACAATGGAAATGGCCAGAAATACTGAAGCTAGTGAAGAACAAATAGAATCTAGCTGTCAAAAGCAGCTTAATGCTCCAACCAGAGTTACTGCAGTTTATATGGGTAACCTACCTCGTAGCCTGAGAGTCAGTGAATTAAAGAATATCTTAAGAGAGCACAATGCAGTTCCATTGCGTCTGAGTTGGCAGGGTGCCCAGCACAGGGTTTTTCTTGATTATAAGGATGAGGTCACTGCAGGAGAAGCTGTAACCTCCCTGACTGGGCTAAGTATAAGTGGGAATATAATTAAAGTTGAACTTGCCAAGAGTCAAAGAGGCAATAGATCTAAACATCAAAACACTGAAAAAAACAAGCAGCCAATAATCTGATTCTAAACCAAAAATGTCAGCAGCAAATTTCACACATGTAATTATGTTTTAGAAGAATTGATCATATCGAGAAGTGCAAGGTGCAACAGAGGCAGCTTATTAATAATTTTATTTTGCATATAGTGCCTCATTTGGACACGAAAGACCAGTTGAACAACCTGAAAGAATACACATTCGTGAACAGCCAATGAAATTAGGAAAGTTTGAAAAGTGTCTATTCTGCTGTGGTACAGATATTATTGACCAGATACTGCTATCTGTATGTGATAGCTGACATAACATGATTACATCTATAAATATTAGAAAGCACATTAAGTACTGCAGGGCCTCTTGTGGTAGTGTCCCTACCTTTGGTCCAGGCAATCAGGTTCAAGTCATACCTGCTCCAGATGTGGGACGTAACATTTCTGAACAGACTGATTGAAAATATCTTTGAAATATTACAACAGACATTGCATTTATTTTCTGTTCAGCTTTATAGAAAACATCAAATGAACATTAATGGCTTTGTACTCACAGGGTTAATTGATACATAAGTGAAATTTTTTTTTATTATTGACACTGCTTAAGTTTACTCTCTACAAATTATAAGCTTCAATAATTTCCTGGTGTCCACCTCTTTATTTTGGGAATTTATGGAATCCAGTAATTTTTCTGTTAACATTAAAAATATGGTCCATCAGAACTTTACAATAATAGGATTGTTTCACATACCTTAAGTGGCCAGAAGGCTCTTAACACAAGTAGGTGATACAGACCATTCAGGAAGCATGTTTTCTAAGGAAATAAATCTCTTGAGAGACCTTGTGAAAGCTATTTCATAAGCAAGGCCGTGGTAGAGCCCATTAATGTTGCCTTGGAGAGGAAAAGCGTTTTACTGGCTCACTTGAGGTAACAGCCCCGTAGGTCAGATGACAACATGTCAGACAAGAAATCACACAGAGGAGTTGCATTGAATCCATTGTCACCAGGTTTGAGCAGAAGTCAAAAAAGTGCTTCATAACTAGAAAAAAAGGTGTAAAGTCAGTGAAAAGGCATCTAATAAATTCATGGACAAAGTAACACCATATGTAATTCTTTATTCTGCAAAAGTCCTATTACCTTGGTATGTACTGAATATATGATTGATGGAATAAATGCAAATGCATAGACATTGATTTAGAGATGAATGGTCAGGACTGCTATCCTTTAGGGAAAGGAATATGCTTTTTTTTTTCAGTTCACTCAGGGGTTGTGGGCTTTTCCATCCATGGTTGCCCTTGAGAACATGGTGGTGAGCTGCTGAAATCCATTTTGTACCAGCACATCCGCGATGTTGTTAGGAAGGGAGTTCCAGGATTTTGATCCAGGGATCCAGAATCTCTACAGTGCAGAAAAAAGCCATTTAGCCTATCAAGTCTGCACCAACCCTACAAGGAGCATCCCACCCAGACCCAGCTCCTGTACCTTATCCATCATGCCTAATCCACCTCGCCTTCACATCCCTAAACACTATGGACAATTTAGCACAGCCAAGCCACCGAACCTGCACATCCATGGATTGTAGGAGGGAACAGGAGCTTCTGGCTGAAACCCATATAGGCACAGGGAGAACATACAATCTCCACATAGGCGGTCACCCAAGGCCATAATCCAGCTTGGATCCCTGGCACTGTGAGGCAGCATTGCTAACCCAGTGTGCCACCCATAACTACTGAGCCAGCAAGTGTGGATGCTGAGTAGCTTGGAGGTGAACCTCTAACTGGTCTGGCCTTTAATATACAGTATACGTGACTCTATTTACACAGCACAGTTCGACTCTTCGTGATAACTAGAAAGCGGCAACAATTGCTTATGGAGAGTTTTTCACACATTTTGAAAAATTAGAAGATTGTATCTTCTGAATGGGCTTGCATTACATGAAGATTGGCAGAGAAAAATTACCTTCTACCTTTGAAACTGTACTCCAGAGGTGAGGAATATTTTGCCATTGTATTTTCACAGAAACTCTTTGTTGTATCCATCATATTGAATGAATAGTTGATGTTTGTTAAGCTTCAAAGTGCTTAAATGGCCTCAAAGGGATGTAGCTCTGTTTCAACTTCAAACTACTTCAGTGTGTGAGAGAATTTTTATTTTCATCGAATGGAGTGACAATCAGGTAGGTTAACAGACCTGCAATTTATGTTACCAGGCAGTGACATAATAGTGTTCTCATGACCCACCCTAGCAAGTTGCCCAATTGGTAGTTGAATGTTACCAATTCAGTTAGCCTAGTGATCTAGCACCACACAAGAGGACCATTTCCAGTTAGCAGAGGAGTGTAGGCCAAGTGCTAGTCACAATAAACGCTATGTGGTCTCTTTAATGAGCACTAGCAGATTACATAAGTGACAAGTAGCTACAGAACTATCATCCAAATGCCTGTTGCTGGAATACACTTCAACTCCTTAGTCACCTCTGAAGCTGTTTAGCACCTGATCTATCAGTTACTTGACTTTTATTGATCCCTAGAAAGGTTGTCAGTCTAGTCAAGTGCAGTTTTGATTCAAACTATGTTAAAGGCAGATTTCCGCCTTTCTCGTTTTCGACGAGGGAGAGGTTAGATATTACAGGTCGAGGGAGAGGGGAGAGCGTTCAAGAAAGTCTGATTGATTAAAATGGTGAAGCACCATTTATTTATTCTGACTGGCAATTGGAATAATAGTAGCATTAAGTGAATGGTAATAATGAAATATAATGTGTAAAAATGTTTTCTGTATAAACAAAGGCAAAAGTATTGCAGGTGTTGAAGAATTGAAATAAAAACAAAATGTTGGAGAAACTTAGCAGGTCTGGCAGCATCTCTGGAGTATGGCAACTAAAATACTTTTCACTTTTTTGTAAAAATACAAATGACAATTACTATTCTATTCTGGAGAGAGAAACAGAGTTCACATTTTGAATTCAATATGACTCTTCTTTGGAGCTGAAGAGTACTGGAAAAATGACTAAGTTATTCTGTTGAAAAGGGGCAGGAGATCAAGTGGAACAAATGCTAAGAGTGCCCAGAGCAAAGGACAAACAGTAGTAGAAAAATGATAGAGGTGGAGAGTAGGTATTAATGGTAGGTGATTGTAGCAGAAAATATGTCAGCTCTGCTGTCCATGCAGGCAGGACCGTAAGAGGGGAGTGGATATAATCAAAATAGAGGACAGTATTTTCCTGGTTTGAATTTGTTGAACTCAGTGATGGGTTCTGAACGCTGTAAATTGATGAAACAGAGAAGAGGTGCTGTTGCTCAAGCTTGCGTGAGGCTTCATGGAGCAGTACCGAAGGCCTAGGACAGAAATCTTAGTGTGAGAGCAACATGGTGTATTGAACTGGCACGCGACTGGAAAGGTCAGATTAAATTTTGTCGAATGGAGGTGTTCCACAAACTTTGCGTTTGGTCTCATCAATGTAGAGGACAAAGCATTGGTAGTTGTGAATTCAGTAGACTAGATTGAAAGAAATGCAAGCAAATTGCTGCTTCACCTGGAAGGTGTGTTTGGTGGTTTTGACAATGATGACGAATGAAGTACAAGGGCATGTGTTAGCCCTTTTACCATTCATAGGAAGATGCCATGGAGGTTTAAGAGGTGTTCAGATGTATCAGAGATGGGGGTCAAGGTGTTAGGGGAGAAATAATCCCTGCGAGATGCTGACAAGTTAGGAAAAGGGAATGCTGGATGGAAATACTGAAGGGTGATCTTTTGAATACAGTGTCAAGGACACCCTATTGTTGTTCTTGGAGGGAGGGAACGGATGAGGGCAGAAATGAGGTTGACTGCAAAGAATGGAATAGAGTCATTACAGGAAGCAGGATGTGAGGAAGTGTCGTCAAGCTAAGTGTCAAATGGGTTTGTGGTGGACTGCCTATTCCCAGAAATGGAAACAGAGAAGTCAAAGAAGGGAAAGGAAGAATCAGAGATGGACCAGGTGACGGTGAGAAAAGGCTGGAAATCAGAAGCAAAACTGATGAACTTTTCCAATTCTGGATGAGACAAAAGAATGTTCCACATGTCCCACAAAGAGACAAGCATTTGTACTCTGTATCTTTTATAAAAAAAATTAAGGTTAGCTTCTGGTACCCGTGATAAAATAGAAAATCAATAATTGCATTTACTAATTTTGGAATTATAAGGTAAGTGCAACAATCTGGTGAGACTGTCCTTTGTAAGCAACTTCTCCAAAACATAAAACTTCAGTATTAGAATTTTTCCACTGTTAGTATTTGTCTATATATTACCACTAGAGGGAAGCAAGCTACAAGGAAGAGAATGAGCTGTTTGAGGTTACTCAAGATCTCTTGAGTCTTCATGGAATTCTGCTTCTTTAATAAAAATAAGGATATATTTATTACATTTTGAAATCTGTATTAACAAAACAAACAGTGTCAACATGGAAAGTTTAATTTATCAGTCTTTTAATTCTGGTACCATTTGCAGGAAATATACAGATTCCAGAAAGTGTGTTATTACTGCAGAGTTAGATGGTAAAGATACTGGACAATAGTGCATCTTACAGAAGCAAAAAGATCATTTATTATCACAGAAAATCAAGTGCAATAAAATTCATCAACGGTTTGGTCCACTGACTGCCTAACTTAGGCTGCAGGATCCAAAGCTTGCTGAGTAATGCCAGATAGAGTACTGATCCAGATAATAACATCCCTTCTTGATGTTTTGAATTGGAAAGGATATTATCACACAGCCACGAAAGCCTTCTCTACTCAGAAGTGTAGTGATCTGTGTCATAGGCTGGTGTTTCCACAGGGACAGATGTACTTGCAAGACAGCTTCAAAATGACAGCGCTTAAGCTTAATGCTAAAAACTAACTGGTGCTGTTTGATTTGGTCTTCTGCTGAAGTTATGGCAATAAACTGTGAGAACCCTATATGCAAATTGTCTGCATTTCTGGACAGCTGGTTGGAAGAAATTTAATGTTGACAAATGAAATGTTGCATATGAGAAGAAATAATAAAAATATGGTTTCAACTGACAAAGTCACAGCAAATTACCCACCCACTGTGCTGGTAAGCTTGTGGTTTTACCTTGTGTGTTCCCCCTCACCCCATGAAGAGAATCTGGATCCACATACGAAAATAGAACTCTACCTTTGTGGGTTGCTCAATGCTTACTGTCAGTAGATGCGTAAAATTAATGATGGGTCTTCACACACTTTATCTAACAAGCTGGTCACAAAATAAAAATGAACAACTTAGGGATGGATTTAGCACACAGAATGTTTGAAAGTAGTACATATTCATTGCTTATCATTACAACGTGGAGGAGAATTTAAACAGAATGACAGAATAGATTGTCATAATTGAGTCCTTTTCTTGTAAGTTATGTTAAGGTTTTATAATCAGGTCAGACAAGCTTTGTAATATTGTGATGAACTTCTGCTAATTGAAGAGGTATGAGAATGATTTAAGTGATAAAATCATGTGCTAGCAGTTAAGATGAGAGAACTTTAAGTTTTACAATTCAGAAAAGAGGATAATGTCATTTGAGACTTATAAAATATTGAATGACAGAAATGGGATGAATGTGATATTAGTTTGTCAGTCATGCCATCAGAAGTAGAGGACATTAAGTGTATGGAGAGTAAAACAAAAGGTAAAAGAATGTTTACTTATAGTACAAGCCATGTTTAGAGCAATCAGTCCAATAAAGTGGTGAGATATAAGGTAATCATGGAGTTTGCAATGCACTTGGATACTGAGCTAGATGAGTTAAAATACCGAGGGACAACTCAATGTGCTAGCGATTTTCCTTTCTTTTTTAATTAGTCAAGGGATGTGGATGTTGCTGGCTGGCAAGCATTTATTGCCCATCCTAGTTGCCCTTTAGAAGTGGTGGTGAGCTGCCTACTTGAACTGCTGCAGTCTCTTTTTCTTGTATTCAAGTTAATGAGACCTTCAGTCCAGTATTTTAGTACAGAAAGGCTTAATGATAATTGTTTGTCGTGAGTCCTGAAGCTTTAGCCAATGAACTGAGCAGTAATCTGCTCTCTACTTAGTCACCTCCTCAGATTCCTCCTGGTTTCAAAACCCCTGCGCTTTTCTGTGGTTCCTACAATGCGTCTTTATCATGCATACTGCTCAGCAGTCAGTTGGCTTCCATATTTTTCCTCACTCTGATCTAATTCCAAAATCAC